AGTCCTACACTCGCTACTCTGCTTGGCTTAGCACTGAAATCTGTATATTTAAACCACTTCTCATCGGATCCGGAAATAAAATATTAAATGACGACTAGGTATAGTTGCTCGTTTTGAGTAGGTGGGAGGTTATACTGCTCGAATGATGAAAAGGTAGCTTATTCAAGATACAAAACTGGATCTAGCTGTTCTTGGTTATAGGGGCTTTGATAAATTTTGTCTAAGGATAGATATTTTTAGTCAGTCACAAAATTGTATCACTCATCATTGTCTATTTCACTCACGCTGCAATCATAATCAACTAACGTTTACGTAGCGAAAATCTCTTAGACGGTTATTTGGGTTTTGAAATTATTTATTCAATATAAGTTTATTTATTAGCCTTTAACCTTTTACCATATTTTAACATCCATAGCTTACTCTTATAACCAAAAGGTCTTATAAAGTAATTACGAAATAATTTTATGGTCAAATTGAAAACAAAAACACTACCAGTTTTTTTTTTTTAACCTACAATAATTAATCTTTGGAGCTACTGCTGTTCTGTAGTACTGTAATTGCCGGGTAGAACCCCTGGACATAATTATATGCTTAAGTAAGATGAAACGTTGTTATTTTTAATATTAATCCCTCTTAAGTGTCGCCAAAGAAGGTGAGAGGTAGTGCACATTTTCGTCATTATTTTGATAATGAACGCTTTGATGTTGCTAGGCAGCCGATCTCTCAACCAGAGGAAGTGGCGAAACATTAAGCTCAGCGTCGTTGTATGTACTTTTTAAAAATTATGTAAAGTATATTTAGAGTTTACAATGGGTTTCCAGCCATGATTAATAAAATATATACATACGTAAATATACATAAATAAACATCTTTCTACAAACTAACATAAATTGTGTTACACTCTGACCTATTCATGTTCAGGGGTGAAAATCTGTGTTTTCGGTTATTTTTTCCAATAGTTATTTAAAATTATATTCACTAATCAATAACAGACATATTTATCAATCCATAAACATTTAATTCCTATGGTTTACAATATTTACAAAAGTTAAATAGGGTAATCACTTGCAAACCATTATATTTACAGAAATACGGGTGATTTACTGAACTGATGGTAGGGTAGGAATATATTGCAACTATTCTCTTAAGCTTTGCTCAAGGATAGCAAAAGTTTGAAGATCATAAACTTGCGCTAATAAAAAATTTAAATGATAATACCTCTAGCATATTTTAAAAAGAATGTACACTTTCTTCACTAAATAAATTTACTAAATAAAACATATTTTAAAATATACTAGATACCGGGATGGAAAATGAGCACAATGATGCGGCTCCAGCCATAGAGTGATGCTTCAGATAAATTAACTAATATACCGGTAGAACTAAATTTACCAGATTAACTTGTATACTTTAATATATAGGCATATTATTAAATTAAAACTAAAGAGAAAGCCTCACTATTGTCAAAATTAATTCCACACTACTTTTTAACAGTAACATTTAATTTAATATGACTTTGGCTTATCATAAACTTAAATACCTAATGAGGAGATTTATAATTGAACAACAAAACCGGCGTGCTATATTAATTATCTTATAATTCTATTTGTGTCGTATCCTTTTCTTTACCAAATCCAAATTTGTGAAAGGTGTTTTAACGACAGAGTTGAAAGGATTATATCGGTGTTCAAAGACAAAAGAGTTTTCCTTTGGTTTTAAGAAGAGCTTAGACAAATCAGTCTTGATTGGATGTAGATTTTCCCTGTGAATGCAAGTTGTTTTATGGATTATGGATCAATTTCTGTCATTCTTTTCTTGAACTTGTAATACAAATTTTTAACGGGGAAGTTTAAAATCCACTCAATAATTCTCAAAAAATATATAAAAGTAAAACAAAGTATAATAAAGTAAATGTCCACAACCTGACCTACGATTAATGTTCTGCTGTTTAATGTACAATGAAGTGTTTGTAGATGTGTGTATGGACAAATGTATGCTCTTACATCAGTTTTACATAATACTTCAACTGCTGTTCTTATCCTTAATCTATTTTATAAACATTTTGTGCTGGGCGAATAAATTTATTCGGCTCCATCGCATTACCAAAATTATAAGCCCAAAAAACGATCAGCATTTTCAATAACCTATGACATACTTGTGACAATCGTAGCATATGCGGTCATTTAACGTGTAACTAACGTATAAAAACATTTAATAATGTTAAACTAACAATATAATTAAATATCATAAATATAATATGAGTTTTATAATTTGTTGTTGAATAAAACCCAAGCAATTACAGACAAATCGTAAATATCGTTGAAATCGATAAGTATGAAATTATCTAATTTATAGGGAGATTTGTATTTAAATATTCTATCAAATGTATTATTGAGACTTGCATTCACTACAACCTGTTACTTAAGCTAAGTGATTTTTGTTACTAATTATGAGTAAAATAAAAATCAATTTGGCGAATACTCCACTTCATTATATTAGCTCTTGAGTATTGCTGATTACATTTGATCAGTTTATTCATTTTTTCTCTGAAACAGAAGCAACCTGACCAATAATTATCTGCATACACCAAATATTACCAGTGCATGTTTTCTGTGTTTTCAGTGTGCTAGACATCTGTTATTTCATAATGCACAAGACATGCGACTTTCACAATAAATATTACTGTGCCAATTGTACTAAATAATTTGGTTGTACAATTAAGTTCTATCCTAATCGCCGTTTACTAATGCAAAAGTAATCATGGTATGTTTTAACTTTTAATCCCTTTTCATTTTATTTAACATCCAATATAAATGTTTCTGACGGTCAGGCTAAAGAAGCTTTCAACAGATTAACATGTAATCCACCGAGACCTCAGTCTAACCTCACACATACCAATTGGACCTTTGTTTCATTATTTGGGATTAACATATGAGTTAAGTTTCTTTTTAAGTATACGAGAATTCTAAAAAAAAATCTTTTGTAAACTAGTGCGTAAAACTTTATTTTTTTTCTATGAAAGTTACTTTGAGGGTCAGAGTATGTTAATGAAAAATAACGGGAGGTAATCCCTTGATAAATCACCTCGACTTGGTCTATGATTATTAATTTATAGTTTTATACTGTTTACATAATATTTTTCTTCATATCATGTGTATCGATGAAAATAGTCGTGTAGAAGAAGAACATGGTAAAACAATTATGGTTACTAACAACACAGTGGCTTATAAAATTTGTGGAAAACTAAAGCTGCTTGGTTTAACCCTAATCGAATGCCTAATAATAAAATATAAATTTACGCCCAGTGTCATATGATTTCAACCCATTACCATGTTATGGGTTGGTTGTACAATTATTCTAAATGTCTCTTATAGTTTAATTTACTTAAAATGATAATTTGTTAAAAATGTTAGTAAGGTTAATCATTTTAATCTTTAGGGTTCGATATATAATCTAATAAAATAATTATTGGTGAAATATCATAGAAAATTGTATATTTGTATATGCTAACTGAGAGTGTGGCAATCAAGTTTACATAAAAGGTCAATTATACTCATTCCCAGACTTGATATTATTTTGTATATAAAAATTATAGCCTAGTTACATAAAAAACCTTAACTCTTGTCGTTATTGTTAGCTATATAATTTGTAGCGTATTAAACATCCTTAGAACACCAAGATGAAGGTTGTGGGAGAGAGACCATTGGGGGGGGGGGGTGGACTCGGTTCCCTCTTATTAAACTTTCAAAGTTTCAATATTGACATCTCGGGCAGAGCTTGCTGTTCTAGTACACCTCAACTATAGCCAGCCTCTCATAAAATAACATGCTCTTTAATTAGGGAAACTTGAAAGAATGTCATTAAAATAATTCACAATTAACTACTGTCACTAATTATAAACCGAGATTTATTCTCTTCCCCAGGGTAATATGTATATCTAATGTGTTTTTATTATGTGAATGCAGTAAGTTTGGTGAAATGGTATAGATCTTGGAGTTTTGACTTTTACTTGCCATCATTTATCATTAACTGTGTAAACAAACTTATTCTAAACAAATACTAAACAATTATCGCATAGAATCTCTTATTTCGTATATGTTGTGTTTCTTCTATTTGGCAGTTGGGGATTCGGCAGTTCAGTTAGTAAGGCATAGCCAAACGGTTATAGCAAAAATTAAGTTACGCAAGTAATAATAACATTCATAGCCATGCTAAATAATGAAAATAGGTTTCCTGGCCAAAGAAACAGGTGACCTTAGCCAGTAGCAATGCTACACAGATCTCTTGAACTATTTTACACCCATTACTTATTCATTTTTAGTTTAAAATACACCTCATTTTAATTAATAGTAATGCTAAACTATAGTTTCTCTATGCTAGTCATATATTTTACTGTAGTCACTATTTATGCTGTTATTTGCATTGTTTAATTCCAGCTGTAGTAATATTTATTAAATTTAGGCCCACTCAATCTTTTATCAACCAGTGGCATGTAGGGACATAAGTCCCTAAAAAGCTCAAATAAAAAACTAATTATTGTTATATTATGATTATATACAACCTAAGAATCAAATGATCTTCCACGCAGATAGTACATTTGTACTCACATGTTTAATGTAAACAAAGCAGACGTTTTTCAAATCCAATACATTTTAAATCGAAGATATTTTTCGTTATTTCTAATTATCTGGTATATTTGGACAAAATTTGCTATTTTTTCCGACTCCCTGGGACCAATACCTTTAATTTGAGCCCCATTCCGTCATCCTGCGAGCTGACAAACTCGTTTCCGTCAAAGTTTAGATTTTGAAAAATCGCTTACAGAATTAATAGTATATAGATATTAATAAACAGGTTTTAACGTTCCTTAACAATGTATTTCAATAAAAATACAATAACCAATCATCCATCACTATCCCTTTCCAAATCATCTATCCGCAGGTTACTTTCACTCGCACTATTTAGCAGGCTGAGCACAACAATGTGTTTCAGATAACAGCTGATCAACAATGGCCCAGTTCGCCGCGTAGACAGCGCTAGTCGTCAGTCATCCGCGCGCCTCCGTTGTGTCAACTCGTGTCCAGGACTACACCTCAGGATGGACTCCAGACCGACCTCTGGTGAGATGGCCCCCATCGCGGAGTTTGACAAGTCCCCAGAAGACACCGCTACTATGGAGGATCTACCGCCACCCCCGCCGTCGTCCGCTGGGGTAGTGTCCATCCCCGTGTCGGACCCGCCGCCTCCGCCGGAAAGTCCGAAAAAGTAAGTTTTTATTTTTTATTCCCACAGTAGCTTACTAGGTTTACGAAGGCAGTTTTTATCGTTTAAGATTCATCTTTATTACACGGTGGGGATGAAATCATCTACGATTCAAGCAGTTCTGTATTTATTTAGATTAGCTAGAAACATTTGTTCCAGTGACATTGAAGCATACTCTAATAAGACTTTGCCTTTCCATGGCATATCACAAAGTTCATTCTTGACAACTGCATTATTAACTGGAAGAGATTTTTTTACCGCTTCAACTCAATTTAAATCAATAACAAACAATACAATAATTTGTTTTCACTCTATAAGTAAAACTACATTATGCGAGGCTAGGGTTCGTCAAAATAAGACATTGTGAGATTAAATTTTTATTCCAACCTCTAAAGTCAATCTATCCCTTGAAGATATAGTGACTAGATTTGAGCTAACAGGATTCCGTGTAATAGTACAGAGAAGTAGTAGAAAAGTTAGCAGGGAAACTGTCTTACTCTAGATTCAGAGAAGTAGGGATGGTTATAATATTAAACGTCAACAGTTTTCTATAGAACCTAATTGTTCACTTTCGAAAACATGGTAGAACAGTTTACATCATCGCATAGTTATGTTGTTAGATGAATTACGTATTTGGTTGTACAAAACTTTAAAATCTTTTTTTTAGATTTAAACAATTTAGGCTCTTGTTCTTTTGACCTCGCGATTTCTTAATAATTACTGTATGTATTTTTAAGAGAGGCGCTATATTAAAATTTGACGTTGCGTAAATAAATTGTGTCAAGTCAATTTGTTTACTCTTTTACCATTTGTATGCATATTGACAATATGACAATTCAAGTGTAGACTTTTGGCAATGTAAACCATTAGTTGGCAAAGCATAAGTTCCAGCAATAGCACAATACTAAACCGTTTGGACTAGTTCATTTCTGGACCATTGTATTGTCCTATTTACTGTGGTAATAAACGTGTGTTGTAGCTTTGAACCCTGGCCAAATACATTTACAAAAGCTTCCATGAAACTATACAGCTTTAATGGTAAAATTGGTTAATTGACGTTTTGTATAAGTATTTGACGGTTTAATTTGCTTTGACAGTTAATTACTTTAGTGCCAATATTTATAACTGATTTATTTCATAACTTTTTCTCAGTTGAAATAAAATAAAGTGAAGAAAATACAATTTAACCTCATGTTTAACTTTGCCAAACGTAATGTGCGTGAAAACCACAACAATACTCCCACAGATACGTTTAATGGCGACATGCTCACGCAATGGTCAATACCATAGTCCCATGAATGGAGAGTTTGTTTACCGGTTGTCATGGAGACGTGGTTACTCACTATACCCGCTCTTGGCCAGGTCTTTACCCCTACGGATGAATGTTTTAAAACTTTCTTTGTTATCACGTAACTTACAATCTCAGCCTCTGATATTTTTTGCAAAAGTTTCTTTCACCTTCGACCACAATATTTTTAGCATAGGTTTTTGCGAAAGTTACTTGAATGTTTTAATTTTTTATTGGCTGTAATCCTATCAGAATTTCACCATCGTTATGAAATTCGTTTGTTTGAACTCTGGTTAATTCGTCGATGTTTGCGTGTGACTCCTGTTAGACTAAGCCGGTTGTTTTGAAGGTGGAGGAAACAATATCATGTTGTTTTCTAAACAAATAGATCCTGGACTAAAATAGTTTAAGTTTAGACTCACCGGTCGTTGGTATTACGTAGCATTGAGTATACACCTACCTGAGTAGGTGTATACTCAATGTACGTAGCTGAAAGTGGTTTGTGATCTACGGTACTTGAACCGGAATCTCCTGGACATTGATGCCCCGTTTTTTAACTCTAAACCAGCTGCTGCACCCTTGGCATATTATAGGCTTACCTAATAAAAGTGATATAACCTTTACAAATTCCTTAACCATGTAATCTCTAATAGTAATTTTTAATAGCAATAGTGAAAATTCTTCGTTTATTGCCAAATAAAATTGCTCCGCATACAAATACTCTTACATACCTTAACTTTTTCGTTCATTGTATCATGCCCATAACCTGTTTTTAACATGATGCATGACATATAGGACATGCCTATAAATTAACATACATCGAATTGATTTGTTTGTTAAAGTATTTATTTCAAGAGGCTTTAAGATATTTTTTCTTATTAAACACGAATTAAAATTAGAAATTTGAATCTTATTAAAAAGTAAAGAATTTAAATCTTCTACCATAATCAATTACCCATTTAATAAATGTGTTTATTCAAAAAATCTCAATTTTTGCAAACAATCATTTCTCGGTTGTTAATAGTTTCACAACATTAAAATAATGTTTTAAGCATAAATTTATATAGCTCTGAGATTAACTTTTATAATAATACGTTACATCGTAAATAAAGTGTAAAACTGCGCTGTTAGACACTTAAACCCACTTATATAGGACAGATTTATTACGCTCTATGTCTTGTCTAATATCCCAGCGGGAGAAATAAACTGTCAGAGAATTGAGCACACTACTCATAATAAAATGGAGACGGATTTGTAGTAAAACTAATTTTGGATTTGATCCTAAAAGATGTAATTGAATAATTAACACGTAATGCTACAATTTCCTTGTACATTTAGGATAAATTGAGAGTATAATTTACTCCCCTAATCCCTAAAATATCTTTATAGGGATTATTTTAATTAATTAAAATTTTATATCACCTAATTTTGGGATACTTCAAACTCTTTTTTTCTTGGATTACTTCAAAATGAAAACTCCTTCGGCTACTCTGCAAGTTATAAATAAGTTTGAATCTATAATATAAAGTATTAAAAAAATTACAATTTACCAAACACGATGGCTTAGTGGTAGCGGTTTGGGTTGATAAGCCAGACATTGATGACTTAGTCCTTTTCTCCACTTTGGATTTAAACATGCACTAGTGATATTATTCTATTTTTTTCTCTGCAGCTCTAAACCCTGAAGTTTGTGCTGCTATAATTGATAACTGTTTATACTGTAGGATACTTATCAGGCCTCTATAGAACTGGAATACTGCTACTGTATTGGAGTAGTGATAATAATCAAGTAGAAATTATTAATCATATAAAAAATAATTAAGCTTGTCAATTATTGTCCTAGTTGTATTTCTACTTCTAGTAACTGTCAAATTACTGATATACGTAGTATAAACTAGCTTTTTTACCAATACAAACTGGAAGAACAAGTTTCAGTAAACTATAGCATCTGTCATGCTATATAAATGATCAATGCACCTAATACTAAGAAAATATATTAGCACAGTGAACTAATATGGGCTTAAACTCGTTGAGGTTAAAAACGAATACAGCTGATCCATGTAGCTGGGATGACTACTTAAATACTTAAAGTCAATTAAATAAACAAATAAACATATTACAGTGTCACAATTATAATGATCAATTAACTTTGCTCTAATTGATCTCAAACCCAGTATCGTGAAAAGGACAAATTGACACTAGGCAATTAGGAGCTCTACTTAATCTAAGTTTAACTACTCATTCCCTGGCTTATTGGATTGCTTCTTTTCCCCCCTTTCACCCCATCTAGGAACTCTTCCCATTTTATGATACTCCCTCTACTCCCAACTTTTACCGCGCTCAAAACCGTAACTAAAGTTGCGTCCTTAATTCCTGCGGGGTTTGAAAACGATTTCACCGCGAAAGCAAACGCTTACCCTTGTCAGATTTTATATTCACGTTAAAAATTAATCATATTTTAAAGGAATATTTGAATTTTATTAGAGTTTGGCATGCTTTAACCGGCTTGTCATTGTACCGGTAGGTAATTACAAATTTCGCTATTTCAGGATTTAAGTTGTAGGCCATTGGTTCATAGAACGCTTTTTACTGTAGTCAACCTATATACAAAAAAGGATAGTTTCCCAGTCGTTGAAAGCTTCATTTGGATTGAGTAACAACATAAACTCCCTTTCCTCAGAAATAAATTATAGTTTGGCCTAATTATCTAAGTTTTGGATGAGGTCACTGAAAAGTTATATAGCGAATGCAAAGCGTAATAAATTACACTATCAATTGGGATTTTGTTTCTTACTTTGATACTGAAAAATAAAAGTAAATATAAGCAAATCAAGTAACCTTTAGTTAATACCATAAAAAGAAAAGATAAAATGACCTAAGACCTAGTTAGTGATCCTAAAATCTTATTGTTGATACGATATTGTTAGCTAGAGCAATAACTACTTCCCGGTATGAAATCCGCAAAACACGTTTAATAATCTAACAGATCCAATCATCGAGCTTGATTTGAAGACCTTTCAACTTCCCTCTTTGATCATATCGAAAACGTGAAGTTCTTTCTCTTTTTATCCAAGCTACTTATTATTTCAGTGGCAATTTGTTTATTTCTAAGTATTGTTACATTTTCTTGTCTATGGACTTGTAATATTGGTTACAAATAAAGATTTTCATATTTTATTGTTCCATTGAAGGGTCAAAATTTAGCTTCTAACATTTGTACAGATCAAAAAGTGTCAAGACAAGTAGTAGCTATTGGTTGTCGTAGAACAATTTAAATTTGTATTATTTAAGAAATCAAGAGCAATAAATGTGAAGTGATTATGCAGCAATTTAAATATAAAATATCGTCATTTTACATGTGCGTTATATTACAATGTTATTTAATTTATGCCGTTATATTTTTAACGTCACATTATTCGAGTGATAAGGTCGAGGATTATAAGTCTTTTTTCATGACCAACATAAATTTTTTTAATTAGATAAATAAATAATATTAACATTTTCAAAGATTATTATAGGCCTAGTATTGGTTTTATTGAACTCTCAGTAGTTTTGTTTTTTTTATTACCTAACACTAAATCATGTTGTAAGAATGTAAATTATTATTTAACATAATTTTAGACTTTCCCATTGTCAGCTGTGCGGCTGTGGTAAGGTATCAAGGGAATGGTGGACCTTAATCTCAATTAATTTGCGTCAACCTCTTAATGTAAAA